GTCGATAGGTGGAGGTGCAGAATCTGCTGCTTGAAAGTGGAGGTTGTAGTGCTGTGCTGCTGACGGCTGGAGGTCCACTGGTAGTGGTGGAAGGAGAGCTCGGGACTCGAACGCCGAAGAACCGAAGTCGGAGTACTACGCTGTTGGATGCTGGAGTTCGGAAGGTAGAGGTGGAGGTGGAAAATCATATGTTGGAGGCTGGAGGTCGATGGGTGGAGGTGGAGGTGAAAGGTTTGATGTTAGAGGTTGGATGTCGGAATGCTGACCTGGAGTCGAACAGGTCGAAATCGGGGTAGCCTGTGCGCGATGATGACCTGATCGGCGTAACTCGGCACGCCCGCGCAGAACATCTGAGCCAACACCGGACGTCGGAAACTGTACACATGTAGGTGAAACGAATAATTTACCGTCAACGTTAGGGGAACACCGTGCTGAGTGAGGTAATAATACATCCGCTGTGCGCTGCTCGATGGTAGTTTTGCCCATGCTCGCGCGCGCGATAGTATCCAAAACGGCGGGTGTAGGTAACTCGGGACGTTCGGACTGGGGGTCTGGAGCGGGAAATTGGGGGCTGGGCACGAGAGATCTGCTAGAGCGATAGAAAATGAAGACTTGGGTCGGAGAACTAAGTCTGAGCATACATACGGGCGTTTGTATTCCGTAACGGCGGAGGTGCCGGTAGCTTTGGCCGTAATCCCCGCGCCTCAAAATCCCGAATACAGAGCGCGTGTTAGTGTGGCTCGGGCACTGTCGGTGGTTGCAAGTGCCCGCCCTAGGCCCGGCGGACCTTTGGACTGTCCTTTTCCGCCGCCTTACAGATTCCTCGAAACACGTTCGACGATCCCGTCGCACGTCTTCGCCAGCTCATTAAATGTCCCGCTGTTGTTGCGTAATTCCTCCCATTCGGCCCAATCTTCCGTAGTCCATGTGCGTATGACCGTGCCCCCGTCGATAGTCACGCTCAGGGCCAATTGCCCGCCGACTGTGACTGTATATGGCTGCTCCGTGTCATCAATGCGGATCGGGTGTTCGAGGCCCGTTGTGTTCTTCAGCAGATACTTGACGCCAAAACAATAGTTGCGTGCTGCCCGGACTAAAGGCGAGCGGTCGCTGGTAGCCCAAATGTATTGTCTGTTCCTGCTGATCTTGGCACTCCGAAGCTCTCCAACCACAAGGTTTCGATCGTCAGTGTTCAAGAACTCCATGAACAGCACATGGTTGAACTCTCCCTTGCTGTAGGTGTTTGTTGGCACTGGCGCGCCCACACGTTGGAGTTGTTGTTGGATCCAACTGCTTGCGGCCTCCATAGTGACGAAATCGCCAAGGTTACCGATGACAGCCGTAATGCTCCTCTTATCTGAGATGTTGTTGGTGCCGTGGGTTCAAGGTCGTTGTGGATGTGCTGGTGTAGATCGCTGCTGCATCATCGCTTGGATGTCCATCTCTAGCTGCAGTAGTTTGGCGTTGGTCCACTGTCGCTGCAGATGTTGCTGGTGTCGGTCGGGATGATGTTTCCAAGACCGTTACGCGCTTGGTGATGTCGTCGATGTCTTTCCGTGGAGGGGCCATTGTGGTGTCCAGGTCCTCCCGCGAGATACCGTGTGCCTTGATAGCCGTGATGTCGTTCCGCAGTGGTTCCAGTTGCTCGTTGAGTACAGTTCTGAGCAGATCGGCAGTGAGGGCTGCTCCAGGAGTCGTGTTGGTGTTCTCCCTGTTGTTGCTCTTGCCTGCTTCATCCAGTCGCTGTTCGAACAGTCTCTGACATGAAATTGCATCTTCTGCGTCGACCTTCAGTGGTGAGCTGCCAGTGCGAGCCATCTTCCTTCTCTGCTGGTTTGAGTGCCGAGCGCAGTGGTTCAGGAGAAGAAATCACGTGTTTCTCTGGCATGGCGGCGAAAGAAATCAAAATCTGATTGGGAGAAACAGCTGTACTGTATGCGGACAACTGTACTGTATGGGAGAAACAGCTGTACTTGGGACGGGTTACCATGCGAGCGGGTCACCATGCGGGCGCAGCCTCTGGAGCCTTCGGTGAAGCTTCATATGGAGCCACGAAAAGCGTGAAGGGTACGCCGAAATGGGGCGGGTCACCATACGGATGCAGCCACGGGGGCATCTGATGGAGACCCCATATGGGGCCACGAAACGTGTGAGGACAGCGCCGACCTGGGGCAGGTCACCATGCGGATACAGCCACTGGGGCCTTCGGTGGAACTTCCTCTGGGGCAACGAAGCGTGTGATGGCCGCCGAAATCGAGCAGGTCACCATGCGGACGCAGCCACTGGGCTTTCGGTGGATCCCAATGGGGCCACGAGACGTGCGGACGTGCCAAAATGGTCCGGGATCTTCGCCGGGATTTACATCGAAGAAGGAAAAGGATGCAGCGGAAGAGGAGACGAGGAGAGGAGAGGAAAGGAGAGGAGAGGAGAGGAGAGGAGAGGAAGGAGACGCGCGGCGCTGCGAGATCAAAACGGGGACCCAACACGCAGAAGGAGTTGGAAAACGGTCCCGGTTGGATCCCAATATGGTGATGTATTGTTATTGCTGCCCCTACCACGGTGCACGCATTCGATGGCGGATCCAATGCTCCGCCATAGAATGGCATAAGTGACGCATCCCACTATTTCAAATCGTATACGTTGATGACCTGGCGCATCTCTGCGCGCGTTCTCTGTCTCTCTCTCTCTCTGTCTCTGTGGGTGTGCTCAGGCGTCGTGGCTGGAAACCAGCAACGCTTCCGTGCGGCATGCTCCCACGCCTGTGTAATAGAGGACTATGAAGTTCCTTTTTCGAAGAAAATACAGGCCTGATAGGCATGGAGTGTTTTACCCGTGGAGTTTTTGTTAAAGCCATTCGTACTGGGGCAATTCACCACTGAAAAGATGTTGAACCTCTTGGGTCGGCTCGAGCTTGTTTCCAAGCCTATCACGATAGGAGCGAAATCCTCCACGGAGTCGCGGATGGATTGTGAGCTCATGATCGGGATGAAAGCGGTCACGTGGATCGTGCAAGGGAGAAAAACAATAGTTCCAAAATTAGAACCGACGACACAAGAATGTGGCCAGTTCCGCTACCAATTTCGAAAACAACGCAGTAACAGTACATGGTACATTCTGCCTTGCATACTGTAAGTAGGAAGGTTGAAAGATCAGGATGATTAGTTCCTCTTCCTGCCAAATAGGACCAATAATCTATCGGTGGCCGGATAGAGAGTGCACACCTTGAGCCAATGGCAACAGAGGAGCGCGCTATACATGATCAAGGGTCTGGGCCCCCATGCTGATGCCATCGGCCCCACCCACCCCCCGCGCAATGGGTTCCCACCCCTCCTGTGGACGTTGCGTGGTGGGGTCTTCCCCTGTGGGCGTGCGGTGGCGGGTATGGGGTCTGGCTCTCCCCCCCTATCAGGGACGACGACGACGACGTTGACGACGACGACGACGACGACGACGACGACGACGACGACGACGACGACGACGACATCAGCGAGGACATCGCCATCGGCATCGGCACATGCATCGCCGTCGTCGTCGTCGTCGCCGCCGCCGCCGCCGCCGTCGTCGTCGTCGTCGTCGTCGTCGTCATCGTCCCCCTCCTCATCTCATCTGGGGGGGGGGCCCGAGAAGCCCTGAGACTCATCCCATCGGGGGGGGCCCGTGGGCCCGGAGCCCGGGATCATAGATTTCCCAGGACGCCTCCCTTGAAAGTCTTGGCTTCTCTGTTTTAAACACCACCATGACGTCAAGACACAGTGATTAAGTGGAGTGTCCTCAGGTCTCTTCGACTTCTCCGCATTGAATATCTAAAATGCCCTTCAAGGTGCCAAAAGGCCCCTCTTTCTCGCATGGCTTCTGCTCCAAGACGGCCCAAGATGGCCACAGGACGTTCCAAGAGGCCCCCGAGACGCCAAAGAAAGGCCCCAAGAGGCAAACTCCGTCGATTTTGAGTTCTTTGATGAACGATTCGAGCGTTCTCGCACACGCGGGCTTCAGAACGCGCAAGACGGCCCAAGAGGCCCCAAAGATCGCCCGATGACAATCAAAGATCTCAAAAGGCACCAGGACGACCCAAGAAAGGCCCAGTACGGCCAGGGAGACCCCCGAGATGGCTCAAGAGGTCCCAGGAAGGGACCCAAGAGGGCCGTTGACCAAACCCAAGAGCCCCCGAAGAGCCCCCCAGAAGCGCCCAAGAGGCACCGAGAGGCACCCGAGAAGCCTCCAGGAGCTCCCCCAGAGGCCCCCAAAAGATTTATTACCACGAGGCCCTCAAGAGGCCTCCACCAGGCACCCCAAGAGGCCGCAACAGGAATCCATGAGGTCTCTGATGGCCTCTGGCCCACAACGCAAGGCACGGTGACGGATGGCGAAGACCACTAGACCCCTGAGGTCCGACGCCACGTGTAAACTGCAACATCGTGGAAAGTCACAACTGGAAACCTCGACCATGTCTTCCTGCGGCCTTTCGGGGGCCAGACCGATCAGTGGGGTCCCCAGGGCCCGAAGCTGGGCGAGGAAGCCCTGGAGCGCACACAATTGCGACACCCAGATCTCAGGGGATCTCTGAAGGCCTCCGCGGAGACCTCTAGAGTCCTCTGGAGACCTCAGCGAGACTCGGCGGCGAGCGAGGGGGGAAAGTGAGGAGAAGGCCTTCTCAGAAGGCGGCGCGGCTTCTCAGAAGCCCTCCGGTCTTCTGAGACGTTTCTGTGTATTCCAGGAAGGCTGATGAATCTTCTAAGTCTAATCTGTGGTGATGGTGATGGCGATGATGTGATAATGACATGTTTTTCATTGTCCTTGGCTTCAGCACTCGACGGGTACTGGCGGGGCGAGCGAGGGCAAGGTCTGCCCGCTTGGCGGTGCGCAGTGGCGGATGGCTGTGCTGTGGCGGATGGGGGTGGTGGTGGCTGTTTTCTGCTAGCTCGGCTCCCGCTGGGCTCGAGCCGGCAAGGCTGCGGGTGCGTGCTCCCTGCTCTCTCCCCCTCCCAGCTTCCCCCTTTCTTCTCTGCTCCCTGGGGTCCCAGAGCGTAGTGAGGGGGAAAGGCGTAGCTAGGCACAGCAAAGCGGCCATTCTGGCGCGAGCGCTCCAGGGGGCGATATCCTGCCGACGTGGGACCCGACTGCCCCCCGTGTTGGACTGATCGAGCCTGCCGTTCAGCACGCACTGGGACCCGCATCGACGACCTCGCTGCGGCGATCGGGCCACCCCACCCCAAGGAGACTCATGTATCCTAGGCCGTGTCCCCCCATACCTGGTAGGAATACGCCAAAGAAGACCAGGGGACTTCCGAGCATTCTGAGAAGGTCCGCCCGCACTCACTTTCCCCCCTGGGGTGGCCGCCGAGAGACCCCCGGAGACGTCGCCTCGAACAGGCACAGCGTCAGCTCGTGCTGCCCAGCCGCTGCGCAGGCGTCGACTACGGCGGAGCATGTGCCCTCGCCTCTGCGGGGACAGACGCGGCCAGGGCTGGGCCACCCCCGCGGGGCCCGCATGGTCGGGTGTTGCTTGAAGTGTCCATGACCAGGTGTCCTCAGGATTTCCCCGGAGGTCCCCACGGCCACCACAGCACCCCTCACGAGGCCCAGAGGGCCCCAGGGATTCCAGGATGGAGCGAAAAGCTGGGGGGCGACCTCCTGGTCTGCCACGGAGGGCACAGACGTGCGTCGACCCTGGCGCGAGCCTGAGGTCGGCCTCCGGCCGGGATCCCAGGTCACCAACTCGCCTCGCGCTCCGCGCCGCCGCGCGGCGCGATGCTCGGATCTCTTCGCGCCCTCGCGCCGCCCCGTGAAGACGAGCGCCTGCCCGGCCTGCACCGCAGCGCGCGAGGCGCGGCAACCTCTTTGCGCTCCTGCGGTCGGCCTGCAGGGATCGCTGCAGGTGGATACTTGGCATTCCCAGGCGCCTGGCTCCGCGCCTCTGTCCCACATCTCCTCCAGCAGCTGCAGGGAGGCCCGCCACTGCCCCGCCTCCGCACACGCGCAGATGGCCCCACGATACGTAGCTGGGGCAACGTCCAGCTCACGCTGCTGCATGCTCTCTAGCAGCTGCAGCGCGCGAGGCCATTGCGCACCGCGACGGCAGGCGCTCATCGCCGCCCGGCATGTGCTCGCGTCGGCGGCGAGGCCGCCTCTCTGGGCATCCTCCAGCAGGCGCAGCGCTCGCTGCCACTCCCCGGCGCCCTCGCAGGCCGCCACCGCGGCGCCCCACGCGGCAGCGGCGGGGCACGGTGCTGCCTCGCGGCAGGGGGCCCCGTGGCGGCTCGCGGCTGCCACCGCAGCTCCCCGCGCAGCAGCAGGGGGACAAGGTGTTGTGTCGCGGCAGGGGGCCTCTGGGCGGCTGGTGGCTCGTGCAACCTCCTCCAGGTGGCGCAAGGCCTGCTCCCACCTGCCGCCACGGGCGTACGCTGCAACGACCATGCCCGGGGCGGCCGCGTCCAGGCGTGGGTCCTGCCTGGGCGCCTCCTCGAGCAACTGCAGCGCAACCTCCCACCTGTGCTGCAGGCAAATGCCAGCGGCAACCTGGTAGGCGGCGGCGTTCGGCCCAGCGCCAGCGCGTCGCAGCTCATCCAGGAGGCGCAGCGCCAGTTCCCAGCACCACCTGTGCCCGCTCCCGCCCGCGGCTGGCGCATGCGACAGCAGGTCCGGCTCCAGGCTGGCCGCCTGCATGTGGTCGAGAACCTGGTCCACGCCCAACCTCTCCCCGTCGCCTCTCCAGCGCCCGGCCGCCCACGCGGCGCCCAGCGCCGCGCTCCACGCCGCAGAGTCGAGCTCCGCGCCGCACCCGCGCGCCCTGGCCAGTAGGTTCAGCGCGTGCCTCCACTCGCGCGCGTGCATGCAGGAGACGACGGCCGCGCTCAGGCTCTGGGAGGTCGGCGGCACGCGCGCGAGGCGCATCTGGCTCAGTACGGCCAGCGCGCTCTCCCACTGCCCCGTACCGCGGCAGGCGGCTATTGCGTCGCCGAAGCAGGTTGCGGTTGCGGTCAAGCCTGGGACCTCCCCCATGCGCCTCAACAAGTGCAGGGCGGCACGCCACTGGCCAGCCCGCTTGCACGCGGAAACCGTGGCGGTGTAGCAGCCGACGTCGGCGGTGACGGAGGCGTCCTGCATGGTGTCCAGCAGCGACAGCGCCCGCGTCCACAGTCCGGCGCGGGCGCACGCACCGATGCCGGTGCCGAAGGACACTGCGCTGGGCGACACGCCGAGGGACGGCATGCGCTCCAGCAGCAGGAGGGCTTGGGCCCACTGGCCGCCGGCGCTGCAAGCGCTCATCGCAGCGTTGACGCTCACGGTGTCCGGCGGGGAGCCGAGCTGCTGCATGAGCGGCAGCAGCAGCAACGCGCGCTCCCAGCGCCCGCTCCTCTCGCAAGCGGTGATGGCTGCGTTAAAACAGAACGCGTTGGGAGCTAAACCGTCAAGGATCACCATCCAGTCGAGGATGTCAAGCGCCTGGTCGAGCTGACCCCCCTTGCTACAAGCGCTAATGACGGAGCTGTACGTGTAGACGTCCGGCGAGAGGTTCCATCGGCGCATCTCCAACAGCAGCCCGAGCGCCTGCTGCCAAGCGCCTGCGCGCTCGCAGGCAGCGACAGCAGCGCTGCAGGTCACGGCGTCAGGCACAATGCCGCACTGCAGCATGGCGCTCAGGACCCACAGCGCGTGCTCCCAGCGCGCCGCCCGACCGCACGCGCTAATGGCAGATGCGAAGGACACCTCGTCTGGGCAGAGCATGAGCAGCGGCATGCCCTGCAGCAGTCCCAGCGCCGCCTCCCAGCAGCCTCCCCTGCCGCAGGCGCCGATGGCGACGTTGACGCTCCAGGTGCTGGGCGCTGCCCCGTGGCGAGGCATCTCCCACAGGAGAGCCAAGGCGTCCTCCCACCGCCCAGCCCGCGCGCAGGCGTCCATGGTGGAGCTGAAGGTGATCACGTTCGGCGTGAAGCTCTGCTGCAGCATGCGCCGCATCAGCGCCAGCGCGTGGCGCCACTGCCCGCCACCCTTCGCACAGGCGCTGATGGCCGCGTTGAAGCTTACCGTGTCGCAGCAGACGCCCACGTCACCCATGCGGTCTAGGAGCCCGAGGGCCCGCTCCCAGACCCGCCACCGTCCCCCCTAGCACGTTGAGGCGTGGAAGGCTGCAGACTTTCTGTTTTCTAATACAAGACCCCCCCTCTACTCGCAGACTCGCGCATACATCCCCCTCCCTCCAGAGGCCACGTTCCCTCACGCTCCCTCGCAGGGACCCATGGATCCGCGCTCCCGAGGCCACGATCCCTCTTTCAAGACGGCGGCTATGCGCCCCGAGCTTTCAAGACGGCCCATATGGGCAACGAAAGTCGCCAAGAGGGCTCAAGACGCCTCGAATGCCCCCAATGCGGGCCTCGAATGCTCCCAATGCGGGCCAAGAGGGCTCAAGACGCCTCGCCTCGACACGGGCCAAGATGACCCCAATGCGGCCGAATATGGCAGCACGACGGTCCAAGATGACTCCAAGAGCGCCCAGAAGGGCCACAAGAGGACCCCCAGCAGGATCCGAAGAAGCCAACATCATTGATTATTGTGGGTTGCTGAGTGATGCTCGTCGTCTCGCCTTTTCGGGTTTCCATCAGCTCAGGATGGCCCAAGGACCCTCCACGACGGCCCCAAGACGGCCCAAATGGCCCCCACGAGGGTCCAAGATGGTCCACGAGGACCCCACGAGGGCCGGCCCCAAGAGGGCCCGAGAGGGCATCCCGTGGGACCCACGACGGCCTCAGAAGGCCCTTCGACAGCCCAGGACGGCGCCAAGACGGCCTCACGACGGCCCCCAGACACCCACCATTCTGCCAAGATGACCACAAGATGGCTAAAAAGAGCCCCAAGATGGCTCAAGAGGGCCTCAAGACGGCCCAAGAGGGCCTCAATAGACCCCCCAAGACTGCATCACCGGAGACCAGCCCCAAGACGGTCCAAACGAGCTCCATGAGAGCTCCTCAGATAGCGAGGACTGAAGATGCCACACGTGACGGCCGTCCTCCATGCTCCTGCTCCTGCTCCTGCTCCTGCTACTCCTCCTCCTCCTCCTCCTCCACCTCCTCCTCCTCCTCCTCCTTC